GGCTGAATGTAACACATGCCGCGCAACGCCAAACCACATGCTCAGACCTCTGCCAATCGAGCACTAGCAGGAGCTGGGTCTTATTCTGATCGGACTTACATAATCTTTCAGGCCTGGGATGCCTGGGCCATGACTCCAGCATCCTCGGGATGACTTTCAGAATGCTAGCGGCGTCCTAGGGTGAAAGGAGGATCAGAAGGAGAGAGCAGAAGTCCGATTAGAGATCACGAAATTACTGGAGCGTTGTGTTCGCGCTGGCGCGTTCTGGAAGCAGAAGGATTTGAATGAGGAACAGAAAGAGAGAGCACAAGTGACAATGAGCAAACGAATTCATTATTTATGTATAGATTCGAGAATATTGGAGCGATGCTTTCGCGCTGGCGCGTTCCGGAAACAGAAGGAGTAGAAGGAGAACAAGAAAGAGAGAGCAGTAGTAAAAATGAGTGAATGAATTCATTAGTTGTAGATTTTAATTTGTTGAGCGTTTTTTTGGCGCTGGCGCGTTCCGGACGCAGAAGGGGTAGAGGGAGGAACAACATGAGAGAGCAGTATTCAAAATCAATTCAGTTGTCATAGATTCGGAATTATTGGAGCGTTGTTTTTGCGCTGGCGCGTTCCAGAAGCAGAAGAAGTGGAAGGAGGAACAGAGTGAGAGAGCAGAATTCAAAATGAGTAAATAGCACACGAATGATGGATTTGAAATATTGGAGCGTTGTTGTCGCGCTGGCGCGTTCCGAAAGCAGAAGGAGTAGAAGAAGGAACAGAAAGAGAGAGAGAGAGAGAGCAGGATTCGAAATGCGTAAATGAATTCATTAGTATCTTTTTGCAATTATGAGAGCATTGTTTCCGCGCCGGCGCGTTCCGGAAGCAGAAGAAGTGGAATGAGGAACAGACGGAGAGAGCAGGAGGCAAAATGAGCAAATGAATTCATTATTTATAGATTTGAAGTTTTTTGGAGAGTTGTTTTCGCGCTGGCGCGCTCCGGAAGCAGAAGAAGTGGAACGAGGAGCAGAAGAAGAGAGCAGGAGTCAACATTTGCAAATTAATCCATTACTTATAATTTTTTAGAGCGTTGTTTTCGCGAGGGTGTGTTCCAGAAGCAGAAGAAGCGGAATGAGGAACAAAAGGAGAGAGCAGGAGTCAAAATGAACAAATTAATCCATTATTTATAGATTTGGAATTTTCGGGGCGTTGTTTTCGCGCTGGCGGGTTCTGGGAAGCTGGCCGATTTGATGCGAAGATTTTTGGTGAAATTGAAGATTTAAAATTCGAGGGGAGATTTTGGTGAAGATTTACAGGTCGAGGGAAGATTTTGGTGAAGATTCGGGGTTCGAGTGGAGAACCCAGCGAAGATTCCAGGTTCGAGCTAAGATTTTGGCGAAGATTTAGGGTTCGAGTGAAGATTTTGGTGAAGATTTAGGGTTTTACTGAAAATTTTGGTGAGGATTTAGGGTTCGAGCGAAGATTTTGGTAAACAAGAGGAGATTTTGGTCAAGATTTGGAGTCGAGTGAAGATTTTGGTGAGGATTTAGGGTTGGAGCGAAGATTTTGGTGAAGATTTAGCGTTCGAGTGAAGATTTTGGTGACAATTTAGGGTTCGAGTGGAGATTCTGGCGAAGATTTCAGGTTCGAGCTAAGATTTTGGTGAGGATTTAGGGTTCGAGTGAAGATTTTGGTGAAGATTTAGGGTTTGAGTGAAGATTTTGGGTGAGGATTTAGTGTTCGAGCGAAGATTTTGGTAAAATTTAGTATTCGAGTTTGGTGGAGATTTAGGGTTCGAGCGAAGATCTTGTTGAAGACTTAAGGGTTCAAGAGGAGATTTTGGTGAAGATTTTGGAGTCGAGTGAAGATTTTGGTGAGGATTTAGGGTTCGAGCGAAGATTTCGGTGAAGATTTAGCGTTCGAGTTTGGTGAAGATTCAGGGTTCGAGCGGGTGAAGATTCAAGGTTCCTCCTTTCTTTCCTCCTTCTCTTCCTCATCTCCTCCTCGTCCTCGCCCTCGTTCTCCTCCTCCCCGTCCTCCTCCTCCTTCTCGCTCCCTCCCTGCCCCCCTCCCTCCCTCCCTTCCTGCCCGCCTCCCTTCTGGTAACGAGTGAAACCGGGAGGTGAGATCAGTGAACTCGCGAGTTCACTGGTTTTGGCCGTCCCCCTCCTCCGACGGGGCGGCCGAAATCCGTGAATTCGCGAGTTCACTGATTGGGTGGCCCAAATCAATGAACTCGCGAATTCACTGATTTTGGTACGGGGCGGCCGAAATCAGTGAATTCGCAAGTTCACTGATTGGGCGGCCCAAACCAGTGAACTCGCGAATTCACTGATTTTGGCCGTCCCCCTCCTCCTCCTCCTCCTCCTCCTCCTCCACCCTCGGAAGCCGTCTCGAAAACCGTTTCGGAGCCCGTCTCGGAGGTCGTCTCGGAAGCGAGGCCGTCTCGGAGGCCGCCTTGGATTGCCGTCTCGGAAACCGTTTCGGAGGCCGTTTCGGAAGCCGTTTCGGAAGCCGTTTCGGGGGCTCTTTCGGAGGCCGCGTCGGCATCGTCCGCGTCGGCTTCGGTTTCGGCATCGTCTGCGTCTGCGTCGGCGCCGTCGGCCTCGCACTACTACTACTACTACTACTACTACTACTACTACTACTACTACTACTACTTCTACTACTACTACAACTACTACTACAACTACTACTACTACTACTACTACTACTATCACTGCCGCTGCTGCTGCTACTACTACT